TTAATCAAAAAAATAATGTAATGTTAGATTTTTGATTTATACAATTTATCCGTTTTTTTTAGAATAAAAAATTAATAGTAATATATTATTTTTTTTAAGTAATTTGTAGTACTCGCTTAATCCCTTGCTATATTCCATAAATTAAATATCCTAAATTTTATCATTTATCTTGTTTGTTTAAAAATGTTGGAAATACTTAAGTAGGTAGGTTGGTATGTTTGTGTCTGCATTATTGGGTAGGAGGTAGTTTTATGTTAATTTTTCAATGCAAAAATACTTGTCAACAAAAACTAGCCTCGTCATCGAGGTCGTGTTAGTGGTGTGGGAGGGAGGAAATAGGGCAAGTTCCTTTTAGGTGAACCCAAGCACAGCTTGCTATTTTTAAGTTTAATTTTATACTGATATCTGAATAAGGGTTGTAAATAATATTTCCCTTGTGTGCCAATGCTAGTTAGCACGAAAGCGAACATCAATCTTCTTATTCATTTAATTAATTTAAAGTCACCAAACAGATTCAATTCTCTGATCAGAACTATTGGTTGAACACTATGCAATACCAGTTACTTTATGTGTCCTACATTACATTTATCTAACACTCAGGGTCTCCAAAAAAACTTTTTTCTTAAAATATATTTTTTTGATATCTCTATACATAATATATACTTAGAAGAGTGAAGACTGTTGAGTAGCAAAATTACAATATTATTTCTTATTAGGTCATGACATTACCTTAAGTAATTTATTTCTTGCAATTAGCATGTTTAAATGATAGCTTTATAATGATTTCAACATACGGATACTTTAATTTATATTGATAAATAAAAAAATTCAGTATGAAAGTGAGTATCCATGGATTTCTCATCGTTGAAAGTCATCATGTAAAATTACTTCCTATGTAACTAATAATAATTACTATTTAACAATAATTAGTTTTTCCTTTGTATATAACGTAATATTGTTCTGAATGTTCTGATGATTTTACATCTATCTAGTTATAGTGTAGTTAAAATGTCAATACAAATTAAATCATTTAGTTAATTGGTAGAACATTAAATTCTGATTAAATGTAAATTATAACATATAGGTATACTATATATTTGTCCTGAGGCTCCTGACATAAAAATAAACCCATAGATATACTGATTTTGAATATAATATAATATAACAAACAGTAAAGTTTTAAACTATCCATTTTCTTAAAAAAATATATTATAATATTAAGAGAACTCTGTACCCTCCAAGTATGTGATACACTTATACAAAATATGTATGTTTAGCAGACCTAATTTTTTTAATACTAGATTTCATATTAAAGTAAACTAATTTATGACCAGGCATAAGTTAAAAACATTATCTGTGCTTGTATGCTGGTTTTTAGGTATTATATATAAATTTTTAAGCAAGGTGTGTTTATTTAAATTGTAATATTTAACACATTCATAACTTCTTAGCAATTAAAATATCATATAAATACCAAAATACAAACACAAATAAAATTTTTCTCTTTGATATTTGATGAAATGTTATATGTTATTATGTATACAGGGTGATTCACCAAGCATGCTCCCCCTTTTTTTCTTTTTTATAATGAATTTATTTAAATTCAAAAAATCTAAATTTTCAAATATACTCAAAGACCATGTTATGAAATTCTTGAGATTTTTTATACTGTTTAAGGAATATCTTATGGCAATACAAACTTCTGTTTTGCAAATGAGAACCCCTTTTTTTTACTTAAATTATTTAGTAAATCATTTTTTTTTTAAATTTTGATGTATCTGATTAAAAATTTGAATGAGTAGTTTCTTAGTTATTAAACTGTTTGTACTAAGGGTAATTATCCTTAAAAATTGTTTTACAAAAGTATAACATACACTTACTATTGGAACTAGTATTTATGATACATAGGTCGTTTTTACAAATAATTTATGTTGATTGATTAATATTAATAACTAATATTTTCAAATCCACCATAGACCAAATATCTTATAAACCTGAACCATGGACCTTTTATCATTAGAACACAAAGTTTAATAACTCAAAAATTACTTATAAGAATTTTAATTTCAATCCATAAAAATTTTCAAAAAAAATTAACTGCTAAATAATTTATTGTAAAAAAGAGGAGTTCTCATTTGAAAAACAAAAGTTTGTATCGCCACAGGACACTTTTTAAGTGGTAAAAAAAATTTCAAGGATTTGAAAATATAGTGTCTGATTATATTTAAAGATTCCAAAAATCAGATTTTGAATAACTTTATTATTAAAGAAAAAAAGGTTTATCATCCTGTATAATATATAATATATTTATATTATATTATATTTCTATATTATTCACAATAATAAAAGGTTAGGTATGATTAAAGTTAATAACACAAAATTGGTTCTGCTGAATGTTAGTTTACTATATTGTATATTAGTAAAATATTAATCATTGTTTCTATTTGGTTTTGTATGTTAATCACAAATGTATGGTGTTGAATTTTGTACATATGTGAAGATATGAATGCATATACATGTACATCATTTTTTGAGTCTATGAATATGTATTTTCATAATATTTTTTGAATAAGATATTTTTAATTTAATTTAAAAAAATATATTTTCATTAAGAGGACGTGATACCTGCATGTTTCATCTCSGTCTTACAAGTGCGTAACACCAAATTTTACGCTCAGCTGAACACGTGTAGCTCTGGTAGTTTAAAATGTAGAGTAAATTTACCTCTAAAAAAATTTAAAAGTAAGATTATTATCTTGACAACCTCATAGGCTTTTTTATCATATTTCAATTTTAAAGCGAGTTATGAGTATTTTAAGATGTAAAAACACGTGTTCTGCCAAGCGTAAAATTTGCTAAGTTATGGTCTTGTAAGTCGGAGACTATACATGTGGGTATCATTTCCTCTTAAGTATCCAACAATTAACAAATACTTGTGTTGGGGATTTGCTTATTAGTAGTTTATTAGTAAAAGTATAGTAGTGTTGTGGATTTTCAAAAAGTAAAATATTTTATAATATGTATAAAAGAATTAATTTAATGTACCTACCTATTTCTATAAAATTTATTTCATTCAAAATTAAAATAAATTACTTTCTAATACTTGGGTTTTTTTTTCAGCTAGACCAAACAACTAGGATACAATGCCGTCTCCTAAGAAACAACCAGTTGTAGAAGACATTGTCTCTGTTTTTCAAACAACTCAAAATCAGCCCTGGTCTGTGTTCAGCGAAAAACTGAACAATGTTTCCAACAAAGATTCAAAGCAAAACAATCCGACCAAATCAGAGAACACTATTACTTTATCTAGTGACGACTTTCCTGTATTTGGCTTAGTCCCCCGACTTGATAAAGTAATGTTAGTTTCATGTAATGAATGTGCAATGATAGTGAAAAGAGATTGTATACATAGTCATTTTTATCGCCGTCACAACAGTAGTAATGTTAGTCATTCAGAAGCTGATAAATTTTCACTAGTTAATTTTTTATGCACTGTAAAAACCAATAAAAATAAAAAGCTAAAAATGACTGTTCGAAAGCCTGCTGAAAAGAAAATTAATGAAGGTGAAAAAGTTGACACTGTTGTAAAAGAAATAAAAACTGAATTTAATCAAGTAGAATATGAAAGGATATTTAAAACAAATAGAACAAAAATAAAACAAGAAAATACAACAGAATATGTCGATCGCCATGATGTTGAAATGGCGACAACAAATTGCAAACCTAGTACTAGCTCTGGTGTTTTTGATTGGGATGTTAAACCGTGTATGAAGAGTTCAGCTTTAGATCAATGTATTAATCATAAAATAAATGACAAAATTATAGAGCATAATACAGATTCTAATAAATTTTCGTCAGTATCACTTGATAATAAAGAAGATATACAGAGCAATAAATATTTAAAAATTCAGAACATTGATCACACTGTTAATCGTATTGCTAGTCCTAGTGATTTATTAAAACAAGATCCAAATGAAAAAATGAAACATGGAGTAGATTTTGAATGTTTTGCGAATAAACAGGTAAAATTTAATAAAAAAGATTACAGTCTTAAAAATGAGTACAAACAATTTCCATTTAAAGAAAAGAATATTAAAGGAAAAAATAAATTAATAATAAAAAATGAATATTCAGAAATGATAAACAATCCAAATTGTAAAGGTATTCCTACTTCTTGTAATCAAACATCAAATACACCTGCTGTTGATGTTAAAATTGATAATTATAAATTATTTTCTGGATTACAAAATACTCAAAAACATGCAAAATTTGGACATAAACATTTAGATACTAAAAATGAAATGCCTATGGATTCTGGGAATTCTGCTACTAGTTATCATAAATCAGCTAAATTACCAAAAGTTAAAGAAGAATTTCAAATTACAACAATTAATAAGTTTCCGGATGTGAAAATAAAAGAAGAATTTCAAATTAAACCAATTAATATGTATCCGGATGTAAAAATAAAAGAAGAATTTCAAATTAAACCAATTAATATGTATCCNTAATATGTATCCGGATGTAAAAATAAAAGAAGAATTTCAAATTAAACCAATTAATATGTATCCGGATGTAAAAATAAAAGAAGAATTTCAAATTACACCAACTAATATGTATCCGGATGTGAAAATAAAAGAAGAATATGATGAAAATAATGATAAATGTAAAGTTGAATTTTATCAACCACCGACTAAATTAATCAAACGTTCATCAGATAACAATTATTCTGAAGTTATAAGTAATACCTATTCTGCCAATACTGATAATAACCATTCATCAACTTCCTCGTGTAGTGTTGTCAGACTCAAAGAAGAAACAACATTTACAGAAAACAGTGAAAATATAATGAATAACAAAAGTTCTGGTGATACTGTTATTTGTAACAATCAATCATCAATTGCATCACTAGTCATTAAAGAAGAAACAAAACCATCGTTAACTACTGATAATATTAATGAAGTATCAAAGCATGGGGATATCAATAGGAATGAAGAATCAAATCCTTCATTAAATATTGACTTAATTAATGGAAAATCAAAATACCCTTTAAGCACAGATTATAATATTACTGATAATTATTTAACTCAATATCAACAAATATTTTCAGATTCAGCTCTACAAATTTCACCAAGTTATAAATGTTTAAATGATGAACTAAATGTCCAGATAAAAAAGAATTTGAACAATCAGCTCAATTTACAAGTTGGAAACAATTTGAATGTTGAGTTTAATTTGAAAGTTAAAGAAGATTTGAACGATAAACACAATCTCCCAGGTGAAGACAAATTGAATGAAGAGTTAAATTTTCAGGGTGAAGACAGTTCTAGTGATGAACTCAATCTGAAGGTTAAAGAAGATTTGAGCTATAAAATTAATTTATATTTAAAAAAAGATTTAAATGACAAAATAAATTTTCAGGTTGAAAAAGATGAAATTGATTGGCATAGTATAGAAGATAGACTAATTTTTCTGGGTGAAGATGAATCAAGTATAGATCTCGATTATCAGGATGAAGATTATTTGAGTGATGAATTTAATTCACAAAGCGATAATGATTTGGACGATGAATTACATTTTGAGGATAAAGAAAATATGAATGTTGAACTCCATTTGCGAACTGAAGAAAATTTAAATGATTTGGAAAATTTAAGTAATGAAGAAGATCTTAGCAATGTTGAAGATTTTAGCGATAGTGAAGATTTGAATGATGAAGAAAACTTTAGTGGTAAAGACAATTTGAGTAGTAATAATATTGGAACTAATAATAATTTAAAATATAATTGCCTAATACCATCTCAATTGCCAAATAATAAAGAAGAAATAAAACTTATACCAAGCAAAGAGTCTTCTGTTATTAGAAATAATGAAAATTCTATCTTTGCTTTTACTGGTCATGATCAATCACCGACAAAAACGCTAGATAATGCAGAAGAATCAAAAGCTAAATCTAAAATAGATGATGATTTTGTTATAATTGGTAATGATGGTATTGTTAACAACTTTGAAAATGAATATTATCAATATGACCACGAAATACAAATATATACTCCAAATTATAAATATTCAGATGTAATAAGTAATGATAGTTCTGACAATTCTAATGAGTCTTTATCAAGTTATGATCAATCATCTGTTGAATCATTAGATGCTTGTGAAAAAACAAATTATTCATCAATGGATACTTCCACAGAATATGTCAGTGATGAAAGTTTATATAATTCTCAACTTACCACTAGTAGTAGTGATCAATCAATTACATTCAATGATACTACAACAAAAACAAAATCTACTCAAACTAATTTATTGGAAAAACATGAACAGTTTATGGGTCATGTTGAAATATTAACCAAATCATTTGATCATGTGGATGGTAAAAACAAATGTACTCAAACCAATGCACCATTAGAATGTATCAATTGTTATGATTCCACTGATGATTACGTAGACCGCCAAATCAATATAAATTCTGCTCCTAATTCTAATATTCAAATTGATGGATATGGTGTTAACAATTTTACTCCTATAAGTTCAAGTGCACAAATTATAAATAATAAGATCATTCCCATGGATGTTGAAGAGTATGAACTTAAAGATAGCAATGACACTAATTTAAATATTTCAAATAAATCACATTATTCATCTCATTTCTACCCACATTCTTGTAATCCAGCAAGTCAAAATAATAATTTAATGCGTAGTCCTATAAATGAAAATAATTGTATATTATTTGATGATGAACTTAATGCATATAAACCTAATGAGTACATTACAATTGACGAAGCAATACCATTTATAGACAAAAACAATGAAATGTATAAAGAATTTATGAAGATTGTTGATAAAAAAAGTGTGAATGACAGAAAATGTAAAATTATGCCATTTGTCAGAATTGCAAAGAATTTAAAAAAAAATTTAAAGAGACAAGTTGCTGATAATAAAGAAAATCGTAATCATTTGATATCAAGGGGCATTAAAAAATTTAAATTTGAATTTATAGAAAGAGATTTCTCGTGCTCTGATGAATCTAACAATAATGATAATGTCAATAATTGAAAATATTAATTTTAGATATTTTGCTAAGACTTCCTTAAGGTCTCATTATATTATATTTATTTGTTCCTAATTTTAAAAATAATTTTTAATCTTCCAAAAAAAAAATAAAAAATAAAATTATATGTTACCTAGTAACTAGTTTTATTTTTGTCAATAATTATTTTATTAATATAATTTTTTACTTTCTTTTTTATAAATTCTTGTTATTTTATTTTTGTAATTTCAAGCTGTGAAAATCAATCATACAGTTTTCCTTTGTTATTACATGGTGATTCATTTAATAATGATAATCTAATGTAGTGGTGCCAAACCCTATTTAAGGTTTGGTTATAGCCAGACATATTTTAAAAATTTAGGACAAGGTCTGTTCATATTGATTACTTTTCTCTCTACGGTATGCTATTTTTACCGGTATTAAGATGTTGGGCCTTTTGAAATATTTTTGGCCCTACTACATGTTTAGGACTTCGCTACCACTGATCCAATGAATTCAAGTTACATCATTCATTGGATTGGGTCTTTTGAATTTTCTCTTACAAACAAAAACCATACTCAAAGATTTTTCTGATGCAGCTAAGATACGATTATTACTTACAATGTGTTCTATAAATTAACAACGGATAATTATTGTAATAGCTATGGTTGCTGAAATAATAAAATATTATCGGCCAATATTAGTAGACCATCACAGTTATGTACCAGCTAGCTCAATGAGAAATAGGATTTCAAATTAGGATACTTTAAATAGAAAAGTAGATTTCAAAACCTACAAATCATATCATAGTCATATCTTACATAATAAATCTTATTAAATGTCATCAAAATGTGTTAGCATGAAACTATTGAAAAGTTATCAACGAACAATCCGAATACTACTTATCAATTTTTAAAATCTTTAAAACTAGTATTTGACATTTTTGAACATTAAACAGTGGCATGGAAAACTAAAAAACTTTCAGAGGCAAGATATTTTTCGATGACCACTTTTTCTTGAACAATAAACACAGAGCTTATATCTCCCTCGCGTAGTGTCCTATAAAAAACATTATATTGGAAAATTGCCTCTCTTAGGTAATTTTAAAACCATATTATAAGATTAATAAAAATAACATTAAATGTTATTTTAGAAAAATCGAACCATACTGGTGTTTTAGACAATTAAAACTACAAAATTGTCTACTATATCATAGTAACGCAATAAAACCAAGTTACAGGTATCATTAGTATACATAATTATGAATTTAGTGTTTATAATATAATATTGTTTTATTTTCATAAGAAACTGAATGTTGCACTTAAAAATATCTCAGCAAAGAAGTTGTAAGGGCCATTCTTACAATGTTCGGTTAAAGTTACAAATACTTAACCGGCAGAATTCTGCCAGTAAAAATCCCATTAACCATCATTTAACCATTAACCGACACTTAGCCAGACAGTGTAAGAACGGCCCTAAAATTATTAAATAAATCTAACTATAAAATCAATGATATGGAACATAAGGTTAGATTATTTTTGCACTTTTTGATGCAATTAAAACCTAACCTAACCTTAAATTGTCATGTTAAATTCTGTTTTTTTTTTWAAATTATTTGTAAATCATAATTATACTAAAAATTAAAACTTAAAATCAAATATTATTTATTTAGAGAAATGGTATGAGTGAAAGATAGACGATTAGAAGATTTACAATTGCAGTTAAATCAGCTGACAAAAGTTAATTCCTTATGTTTACATGTTTCAAATAAATTATAATGCTGAATTAACAAAAATTGTACCTTATTTATTTTTTCTGCAACCATATTTATACAATTTTACATGAAGCATGTGATACATTTTAATACACAAATAGTAAGTAAAAATCAAACATATTTTTACTATAAAATACATTTTAACTGTGATAAATGTTCATCAAGGATACATACCAACAAATACAAATTATTTTACAATGGTTAAACTAATAACATAGGTATTTTAAAGTTATATTTGAAGTATGTACCAGCTAATGCAACATTAATGGAAATGCTGTAATGACAGTATTTCATTGTATAAAACAATAAAACTAATGTAGTCTTATCCCAACAGTATCGCAAGCTATTTATTATATTATTAAAAATTATAATAAAGGTTGGGTTTTCATAACCTAATAAGTAGTCTTAATAATAAGTTTGCTTTAAAAGATTTAAAAAAAAATATACGTTAATAATTAATTATCAGTATTATACATTGTATGGGAAGTAGATCATGTGTATTGGTGTATATTTAATCTATAGTACAACAGTCTAAAATCTAATGACTAAAATATAGAATGAATGGAATTAAAAATGGAACACACATACCGTATATATTATACAAAACCAATACTTCAATACATAAAAATAAGAATCTATTATGACTTAAATTAGATTGAAACAAGTAAGACATGGTATAAATGTATTTGTTTTTATATCTTTAATAATAAAAACTTATACGATTATTGTTTTTTTTTTTTTTTTTATGGCATTGTTAAAATTTAAATAAATAATTTTCTTTTGTTTAAATTTACAATTTAATTAGTTTTTTTAGTAAAAAGTTTTATGTGATTGAGTTTGTTGATACTCCCAATACCAAACACCGCCAACAATTAAAGCAGCAATTAAAATAATAACGAATAAGACAATAAAAAATATTTTTAAACCACTCCAACTTGGACTCTTTGTATCTTCAACATGTTCTAGAAAAGAAAAATTATTTTACATTTAACACAGTTATTGTCATATGTAATCCAACATATGAATTTTTGAAAAAATTACCTCTTGGTGGACTAGATATTTTAGCACTTGGAATTATATTGGAACGATCCTTAAGAGCTTCATTCTGAAAAAAAAAAATGTTTAGTAAATCATCAGACGATGTATAAAAACAAACCAATATAGAAAACCAACTCTTCTCTTATTAAATAATAGGTTTTTAAATTTATCAAGTAATTGTAAATAAAAATAAAAATATACTATCTAATATTGTTGTAACTTATTTGCATGGGCTATTTTTGTTATCGATACAAATATTTAATTTAGTTTTGGCTACTAATAAGAAGATACACAGGCATATTATAAGAAATATTGAATAATGGACAAAATCTAAAACTAAATTATATTTAACACAATATTGGAATAAAATACTAACAGGGTCATCAGAATCTACTTCATATAGACGAACAGCTAAAATTTCATGATTATCTGACAGGTCTCCTGTTGCTGCAGAAAATCCAAAATAGTAACCAGTCGGAAGTTCAACGCCATCAACAGAAAAACAAGGTTTCCATACAGCTTTATCTTCTAAGTCTGTCATTACTAAAATATTCAAATAAATTAATAAAAATTATTTACTTAACTTCAGGAATAATAAGAATATTAATTAAATTTACCAGTTAGAGTATTTCCAGTATATCTTATTAAAACATGAGTTTCAGTTGGTAAATTCCTGACTTTAACTTCGCATCCTGCCAATTCTGTATGGGTGCCATCGCGATCATGATCATAATGCAAAGATCCATTGTTAATCATGGATGAAATATAAGGATGCTGGTGCTATTGCATAAAAAAAGGCAAAAAAAAAAAAAAAAAAATAGAAATATTAAATAATATGGACAAATCAAAAACAATTATTAGTTATACATTATGTTCTCCATTATGATTACTATATGTGTCGACAATAACAGCGAGCCCTTCAAATAAATCTTTATTGCCAAAAACTGGTCCATGTTTCATTCTTTCTCGGGTGTACCAAATAGCCATGCCATCGCCGTGAAGACTGTCCTTTCCTTTTCCATGGATTTTGAATTGTACTTGTAATTCCCAATTATTAATATAACAAGGCTAAAGAAAAAAATGAAATGGATGAAACTAACAACAGTTATCAGTAAGTATTTGAATTTATTTTAAGAGCAATCAGATTGTATGACTGAATAATTGATAACCAGATTAATTAAGTTAAACATACTATAAAATAAAAGGTAAACCGTAAAAAATGACACGGAAAAAAACGTCACGGTAAAAATCGACACGGGTTAAAAAAGTCATGGAAAAAAATGCCAAATATGTTTTTTTTTWATCTAAAAATCACAATTATTGTTTTTAAGTTTAATAATAAAATAATGACACAATATTATTATAGATAATTTGGTGAAAAACGTCAAATAAATAATAGTTTTGAAAAAAAAACAAATATAGAATATTATAATTATTAAGGTATAGTAGTTATATATAAAAAAATATATCAACATCGTATAGTATAATAATATAGTACCTAGCTATAATATCATTAGTATAGTTAAGTATACAGTATAGGTATTCGTGTTATAGTATTGCGCCGTGGAAGTTTTGTGAAAACAGCTAGTTCCCAAGGCGTCGTCGGTTCAAAACTTTAAGAATTATATAGGTAACAACAATTAAAGGCCAGTGTCTTATCTAACCMATTCCAAATAACTGTCGTAGATAGGATATATATATATATTTATACAAAAATATACGTATAATCCTATAATTTATTGAGTATTGGGTATAATAAAGGTTTACAATTTATGACTTTGGATAACAATGATCAATGATAGGAGTATGTGTATAAACTGAAACTTTCATACACGTTGTGTCAATCCTAAATGTCAGTTACATTTCGACGTGAATACGTTATATTTATTACCGTGGATTTTAAAATATGGAAGTAATAAAGTCAAATAAAGGTGGGAATAAAATTTGTTGGAGTGGATATACGTATATAATGAAACATCAAGGATGTAAACGAATAACGTGGAGATGTTCAAAAGAATGTTCATTAAAATGTAGAGGAACAATGTACATGGACTTAGAGATTGGACATCCTCAAATTGGAAAAGTCCATAATAGTCATAGGGCTGATAAACACGAGGTAAATAACATTTTTATAATGAGAAAATAAAACAGATTATAGGTATTAGCATAATATATACTATACGGATATTGATATATTTTTTTTTTATATAACTACTATACCTTAATAATTATAATATTCTATATTTTTTTTTTTTCAAAACTATTATTTATTCGAAGTTTTTCACCAAATTATTTATAATAATATTGTCTCATTATTTTATTATTAAACTTAAAAACAATAATTGTGATTTTAAGATTAAAAAAAACATTTTTGGCGTTTTTTACTTGATGTTTTTTTCCTAGATTCAAAATAAAAATACATACTATAGAGTTCCATATTGAACCAGACTTGCTTTGTAAGTCTGGTGTTAATCGCACATATTTATCTGTCACTATAGTAGAACCCATAAAGTCCCAGTTTGGTACTGTTATGCCAGACCCTGAAAGAAAAATGATCAATTAGAATGATAAATTTGTATACTTTTTATGAATTATTATTACCTTGGTATGGTTTCAACAGTGAATGTTCACGTTTCATATAATCTCTAGTGTTCCATTCAGAGTAAACTTCTCTACTGAGAAAAGAAGAAACAACTACAAATAGATATAATTTTGTACAGACTTTTTTTGAATTAATTCTATTGTGAGAGTTGAAGTTCGTCATAATTATAGGTGTAATAACTGGAAATGGAATGCTTTTAACTTAAAATACAAAAATCAATTGACTTTTTCAGGTATTAATTAGTCGAGATATAAATTTATAATCTAAGGTCGTGGTTTGAAAAATAAAAATTATTCATCAACCAATTATAAGTCTTTGATAAAAAGTCAACAATTTTTAATACTCAAGTGACTACAAATTACAACTAATATCTACAGCTATATAGAAGGTATGAACTATGAAGCATACGAAGTCGAAATCGAAAATAAACATTACATTATACAATAACAATATAGGTAGGCATAGATTCGTGAAAATTATTGTCAATACTCAATAGCAAACAAGCTGGTGATTAGTGATCACTAATCTGGTTTATTAAAAAGATACTATAATCATAGTATATATATATCTATGACTATAATATCAAAATGAACCTTAAATGACTTGTGATAAAAATATCATAGTAGATATTATTATACATAAAACTAAATTTATGTCTATGGATAAAATAACCATGGCTAAAGTATTTAGCCATGAAAATAACAACTGTTTATAACCTCTTTGTACATTATTGATAACGAATGATACTATAATCAGAGCCGAAGTAAAGCTTTAAATTTGAGACTTAAGTCATGAAGAATGAAGATTATACTTACTCAACTTAATTATAATTTTGAGTTTGCTTTATTGCTTTAGTTGTTATCTTCTCCAAGTACTGAGATGTAGTCATAAATTAAGAAAATTATGTGTTTTTATTTAGTTGGAGTCAATGAAGCATTAAAGCTGGAGAACGAGAAAGTCAACCATGGATATTAAATGGCTGAAAAGATACCGTTTATTTTGCATTGGAGGTACAATCATCTTATGCGTTCAAGTCATATTAGCGTTTGTGTTCTTTTCCATTCAAGAATATTCAGTTGTTGAAGAACTGTCGCCTAATGTAAGCAGTTTATAGTAATGTTGTTTGTACATTTTTAAAATAATAAATAATTATAAGAATAACATTTTTATTTTAGTCATTAAACAGATTAAGGAATGTAGCTGATTATGGTGTTGGTGACGATGAAGAGTCGAGTTATAACAATGTCCCGAGTGGTAGTAATCATCGCAATAAATTGCCACCCGACAAAGATAATAGTGCACCATCAAATGAATACTTTAATAAAGCACTTCAACAACGGCACAACAATTATAAGACTGATAATTATAAATTACTAGGAAAAAATGAATTAGGTTTTGTGCCACCTTGTGATTTAAGTGGTCGTGAATGTGTATCAGCATTACATCGTGCAAAAACCGAAAATTGTAAACAAATCATAGCAAACATATCGTGTCTAATGAAGACAAATCCTCCATATCCTAAACGACTGCCACATCAATGTCCAACTAACGGTATTAAGACATTTTATAAATTTGAGTTTTGTTATCTGTTTAGTATTATTATTTATTTAACCTGGTTGTTTAATTTATCATTAGATATAAAACTAAATAAAATAGTAGGATGTTTCCGTGATGGCAAAGAAATTAAATTATTGTCTGGTTATAAAACTACACTTATTCACATTAATTCTCATGACAATTGTGTGGATCTTTGTCTTCAATCTGGTTTTGCCTATGCTGGAGTTGAATATGGGTAACATTTAATTGATATATTTTAATAAAAATTGTTGAAAGATGAATTTTTAATTAATATTTTTACAACTATAATAAATCTTTACAGTACTGAATGTTTCTGTGGTAATGAAACTCCAGAATTGGGCTTAAAACTTCCAGATACATTTTGTGATATGCAATGTCCAGGAAATCATAGTCAAATGTGTGGTGGACATTATACTATTAATGTTTTTAAAACTGGTGTTTCTAGTGCGTACATTATTATTATTATGTTGATCTTTCAGTTTTTTAATAAGTTTTTTTTCCTTAGAATTCATTGCTAAAGTTGCTTCAGAACCTTCATCAAATTTTAAACATAATAATATACCTCCTGTGCGAATTGTATTTCTTTTAACATTAAATGGAAGAGCTGTAAGACAAGTGTATAGATTAATAAAAGCACTATTTCATCGTGATCATTATTTTTTTATACATGTAGATGCTGTAAGACTATTAATATCTCAAATTATATTGTGTAAATTTACTCACATGCTTTATTTTAAATTGCAGAGGCATGATTACATGTTCAAAGAATTATTAAAAATTGAATTAGCACTGAGCAATATTCGGTTATCACGCCGAAGGCATTCGACCATCTGGGGAGGAGCTTCATTATTAACTACGTTGATGGATGCTATGACAGACCTTGTAGAGTCTTCTTGGGATTGGGATTTCGTTATTAATCTGAGTGAATCTGATTTTCCAATCAAGTTAGTATATATTTTAATAAAAATTAATTTTATTTATGAATTTTTGGAATAACAATCATTTTTATTAATATATTTATAAATGATACTAGGTCAAATGATGAATTGGTAAAGTTTTTAACTATGAATCGTGAACATAATTTTGTTAAATCTCATGGCCGTGAAGTTCAACAATTTATACAAAAACAAGGACTTGACAAAACGTTTGTAGAGTGTGAAGCAAGAATGTGGCGTGTAGGTGAAAAAGAATTACCAAAAGGCATTATTTGGGATGGTGGTAGTGATTGGCTAGCATTATCAAGACCTTTTGTTGATTATTTAGTGGCTGGCGATACTCTTATTTCTGGCCTATCACAATTTTTCAAGTACACTTTATTACCAGCTGAGGTACTTTTAACAATATTTTATCAAAGTTAATTAAAATTAAATATTAAATATTATAATTTTTTCTATTTGATTTTAGTCATTTTTTCACACTGTATTAAGAAATTCTCCTTTTTGTGGAACTTATATTGATAATAATTTACACGTAACCAATTGGAAAAGATGGCTTGGCTGCAAATGTCAATATCGCCATGTTGTTGATTGGTGTGGTTGTAGCCCAAATGTTTTTCGATTTGATGACTGGAACCGCATTAAGGTAATATAATTTAGAATGATATTAAGCAGTGGCAAAGCATCATTGGTGTCAATAAGACGTTTACCAACTTAGAACACGAACAAATAGTTTAATTAATACGTTTAAGATCACGTTGCACTCGCTTGTGTTTTCTCCATCTTACACATGTAAGACATACCTAATTTTCGTTCATTAGTTTCAATTGCGTGCTGCTAGTTTTGATGTTAAAGTGAATTGACCTATTAAATATTTTAAAAGAAAAATATTATCTATGATCCCATATAAGCTTTTATTGATATATATTTTTTTAAGTTAGCTATAACCGTTTTGAAACTATGTTTTAAAATTATCATGACTTACTTAAATATAAAAATATCAATAAAACCTTATGTAAGGTTTTATCTTACTATTAAACTTATAATATGTCAATTCATTCTAATATCAAAACTAACTGCACATTATTGAAACTAGTAATACGGAGACATCATATGCGAGTGCGACATCCTGTCACAATAAAATATTTATTTTGTTAAATTATTGTAGCCTTCTAAAATAGACTAGTTGCAAGTACACAACTTGAGCTGTCAGTATTCATCATTCCAGTCAGGCGCGTATACAAGGGGGGTTCTAGCCGTTCTAGGGTTTCAACCCCCTCCCCCGCCCAAAAAAAAAAATGTTAGGAAATAGTTTTATTATTAGTTTGGTTTTATTTAATTTCCCGCATTGCCATCGTAATATGAATTACATTCTTAATAAGAATGTATGTGTATATATGTAGTAAATACAGATTTCAAATGAAACCCAGATACAAGCCAATATCATTTTTATTACAATAGCAACAAAGAACAAAGTTTGACGGAAGTGCAGATACGATAAGCCGATAACGATAATGTTATATCTGAAATGTCTTTTGTCAATTTAGTATATGTTTGACATTTGTCTTGTTGTCTTTGACCTTAAACGTGTATTTGTTGTTMGTAAGTTTGAATGTGCGTGGTAAAACTTTAAAAGAATTCTAATCAATCAACATTATTAAACTTAGGTGTCAAAAAATTTTAAAAAGATTTAATTACTGTACAGGATAGAAATATAACTGTAAATACCACAGAAAGCGAAAGGTTAGTTTCTTCCTTTGTTTCTTTATCAGAGGGATTATTCGATAGTCACAATCAAGACATAGGTTTCTATTTAAATAACAATACAATTGATGACGCTAAAAAGTATAAATTGTTAAAGCACCCGTGGATTCCACCTAGTAATTATTAGATTTTATACTATAAAAATACATGTTTTTAAAAATTATTTAAATATTTAATTTAATAATGACGACGGTTTTTACGGTAAATAAATACTACTATAATTTTAATTGTGTAAATTTCTTGTTA